GGCCCCCGCCCCCCCCCCCCCCCCCCAGCCTCTGGGCTTCCTGAGGCACATGAAACTCCTGTGTCCACTGCTCTCCATGGCCATGGCCTGCCGGGTGCCAGCCAGCCTCACGCACCACCCTTGGCGGCAAGGCCTCCGCGGGCTAGTGCTGCCGCAGGGACGGGGAAGAGCCACGAGCTCTGTCCTGCCGACACGGCTCCTGGCAGCTGCAGTGCACCAACCCCACAGGAAGACACAGCTCAGACCTGCCAACTGTCCCCACGCTGGAAAGCTGGCCGCCACGCTCCCGAGTCCCTGTACAGCCCGCAGCGGTCGTGGAGAGCCTGGCTGGCCGTCCACTGCAGAATGGACAACGCATAGCAGCCCTGCCCCACTGTCAGGGCCTCACAGCTCTCGCGCCAGGGCCCTGGCACCTAACTGTCCGAGGTTCCCACACCCCGAGGCTGGGACCACCCTCAGGGAGAACCTCGGCCTCACAGACTCTCACGGTCCACGCGGGAAGGACGAGGCCAGGCAGCAGCAGGTGTGGTGACTGGTGGACACTGCCAAGGCTACTATAGAGCACTTTCTGCAAGCACGGCTCCTGGGCTGGGCCAGGCCTGGGAAAGGCCAGCTAGAACCTTCCAAGATGCACCAATGCCCCCGGGCCCTGAGAGCCCATACCTCCAGAGCCAGGCCTCTAGCTCAGACCAGCCCTGGCTGACACGAGATGCCCATCCCCCACTGCCAACAACACAGAGCACTCCACGAGCCCACCAGGTTCCGAGGTGACATCAACCACGGGGACGCTGTGGGGCTCCTGGATACAGCCTCACCCGCCGCCTTCTCCGGTTCTCAGAAGCCCATCTGTCTGTGCCACGGGTATGGAGACAACCACAGGGACCCCTCTGGCCAGCACTCTGCACCATCCAGGAGCTGCACAAAAGCCAACATCCTTGAGCAGGAGGGCCTGCTCCCACAGAAGCTGCGCACCAGCGGACGTCCTCTGCCTGCTACACTGCGTGCCATCAGGCCACGAGGAGCTGTGGGAGACCTGCTCCGTTTCCATAAAAGGCTACGCTCTGCTGACGTTGCATCATTGTACCTTTACTGCTAGGGAAAACATAAAGGGACTTTTTAGGTCTACTTACTTATGAGACAGGGTACAGGGATCCCCAACACCACACTGGGCCACCATGCCACGATCCCCCTCCCAGCGCTCCAGCCACGCAGGATCATCCGGTGAAGCCAAAACCTGGCCTTCCCACGGCAGGGGCACTGTGCAGCCAAACTCACCGCCTGCACCACAGGGGCGACCGGACAGCGACCCTGGGACAAGAGCCTGCTGCGCCTGCATCGCAGTCACTGCCAGTGTGTGCTGCCATGGAGAAAGAAAAAGCCCAATTCTGATCTATGCAGTCGCCTGGATTTTAACAGCCTGAAGTCCGGTGTTTGATTTAGGGTGGGGAAGGGCCACCTCACAGACACACAACAGTTCAAACTAGGACGTCTACTTGCTTTGACATGTCTGCAACTGAGAGACTTCCATCAGAAGATCACTTTTAGAATGAGCAGCTACTTGAGAAGATCCATGTGAAACTCCCAGAAGCCTTGAAAATGGCCCTCCGGTGCCTCTGCCCTGCCAGGCCCAGACCTTCGTCATGGCTGCTCCTTGTCCTCTTCGTCATCTCTGCCCACACCTGCTGTTTCGTCATCAGAAATGCCACCCTCCAGCTCCTCTTCCTCCTCCCGGGCCAAGAGCTGCTTAAAGACCTCAAACTCTTCTGCAGAAGAACAGGCTGTCCTGGCCAGGAACTCAGCTTCTGAAACTCTGAGAATGTGCTTGACTGGAGGGTTAGAGACCTGCGTCTGCCCCTTCTTGTCGGGGGTCTGGTACCGTCCTAGGCGCTCCAGGTAGATGTGTCTCTGCTTAATCTTGGTTAGAGAGTACTGCAAGAGCTCAGTCTTCACCAGGTCCGGGTGCTGAATCCCCATTCTGAAGTACGCATACTGGAAGACAGACAAGTCCAAGAAGCCCAGGCATGAGGTCGTAACACCTACCACACACATCCATAGGACACCCGCCTCGCCCCAGCACTCGCCTGGGCAGATGCCTCATGGCAGCCATGGCGCACTCAGCCTACAGAACTAGCATCTGTGTGATGGCACAGCTTCCTGATCATTTGCAAATTCACACCGAGAAAACCCAGTAGAAAATAACAAGAGACGGAAGTTTTATTTTTCTTCAGGTAAGGAGGAGGAAAACTATGAGCATGAAAATAGACAAAAAAGACAGAAAACATCAAGGAATTTGACCTAAGTTGTCATAATTGTTACTAAAAAAGTAAGACAACTGTCATAATTAGATCTTCAAAATCAATATGCAAAATAGGCCCTGAAGACAGGGAGGCTTTAGGTACTCCAGGGACCCACCTGCATTCTAGGAATGGAAGTCGGTCATCACAATGAACGCTGTGATGGCCTAGACTGGAAGGGGCACAGCCTCGCACCCGAGGTTGGAATGTGTGGAGCCTGATCGCTCTGCCTCCCAAACGTGGCCACTGTTAGGGTGGGTCCTAACACAGCGTGACCTGCCTTCACCTGAGACTGCACCCTGCCTGTTAGACTAGCAGTCACTCTCACCTGGAACTTGTACTCCAGTTCACCCGGGTCCTCTCGAAGTACATATGGGCACCTGTGTACAATCTCGGTGACTTGCTGTACTGTGAACAGGCACTTCTCCTTGAGGACTCGGACAATGGCATCGATGTCCTGCTGACGCATGCTGAAAACTTCAGGGCAACAGTAAATCACCCTCTTTAGTTTCCCTGCAAAACATTCCAAAAAAGGCAAGCACACAGTTTCAAGATACTCCAAAAACTCAAGAGCCTGGCGGCATTTGAGCTCTTCAGTATTTTAACTGTCCATTAAAATATTCCTAACAGATTCAGAGCGATCTGAAGGTGTGACGGCACAGAGGACGGGTGTGGATCTAGCGAGTGCAGGGGATGGTTAGTAGGGAGTCTGTGGTGGAGGGTGAGTGTGAGACCAAAAAATCATGTTTTCAAAGGTTTTTGCCTTAATGCGCATACCCTTGCCAGAGACAGAGGCAGAGACAAAGACAGCCAGAGGGCGATGGCCACTCTGCAGTCTCTTCTGTGTCCTCCTTCTGGGATTTGAACACACACACACATGCCTGGCATGAGTTTGAAGCCACCAGGTCTGGGACTCAAACAGTGGTCGGATGTTTGGGACTTAAACAACGTAATTGCTACACCATCTATTGACTGCTTAAAAGTGTTGTGTGGGGACCAGCAGTTAGCATAATGGCTACGTCGCTTAACTCCCTGTAGTCGACCGCAGTTCAAGTGCCAGACCCAGTGGCTTAAACTCACGCCGGGCGTGTGTGCGTGTGTGCCCAAGATCCCGAGAGGAGACTGGAGAAGGGATTGTGGCATGGCCATCCCCCCACTGGGGGGTGATTTCTCGCTTTCTATCTCTCTGTCTCTGCTTTTCTTTTTCTTTTGGAGAGGTTTTTGCTATAGGGCGCGTGCGCTCGCCAGACAGACAGAGAGACAGAAAGCGAGAAATCACCCCCCAGGGTGGACGGCCACACTGCAATCCCTTCTCCTCCATTCTCCTCTCAGGATCTTGGGCACGCATGCACACGCGCCCGGCGTGAGTTTAAGCCACCGGATCTGGGACTCGAACCGCAGTCGACTATGTGGGAGTCCAGCGACATAGCCGTTATGCTAACTGCTGGTCCTTCTGTCTCTGTTTTTCTGGCAAGAGCACACGCCCTATAGCAAAAACCTCTCTCTCAAAAAAAAAAAAAAAAGGTGTTGCCTGTTGGGACCAGCAGTTGGCGTAGTGGTTATGTCTTTAGACTCCCACATACTCAACCACTGTTCGAGTCCCGGACCTGGGGGCTTAAAATTCATGCCAGGCACATGTGCGTGTGTGCCCAAAATTCCAAGAGGAGACTGGAGGAGAAGGGACTGCAGAGTGGCCATCCCCCTGGAGAATGATTTCTTGCTTTCTGTCTTTCTGGTGAGTGTACATGCCTTATAGCAAAAATCTCTCTCAAAAAAAAAAAAGTGTTACCTGTAAACTAGTTTGCAGATTATTTCATGAATGCTTTATCAAATTATGAAAATTCAACTGCAACAGTGTTTGAAGACTATAAATGATAGTGAATCTTCATTTTTTTAGAGAGAGATTTTTTTTTTTTTGGAGAGGTTTTTGCTATAGGGTGCATGCGCTCGCCAGACAGAGAGAGAGAGAGACAGAAAGCGAGAAATCACCCCCCAGAGGGGATGGCCATGCCGCAATCCCTTCTCCTCCATTCTCCTCTTGGAATCTTGGGCACGCACGCACACGCGCCCGGCATGAGTTTAAGCCACCGGGTCCAGGACTTGAACCGTGGTCAACTACGTGAGAGTCCAGCGACATAGCCATTACGCTAACTGCTGGTTCCAAGAGATTTTTGATATAGGGCCCATGCACTTGCTGGAGACAGAGACAGAAACTGAGAAATTACCCCTGGGTGGGGGGATGGCCATGCTGCAATCCCTTCTCCAGTCTCCTCTTGGGATTTTGGGCATGCGTGCACATATACCCGGCGTGGGTTTTCAGTCACTGGGTCCTGGATTCAAATCATAGTCGCCTAAGTGGGAGTCCAGCGACGTAACATTATTCTACCTGCTGGTTCCTATAGTGTATCTTCTTTCTTTTTTTTTAAAGAGAGAGATTTTTGCTATAGGGCATGTGCGCTGGCAAGAGAAACAGAGAAATAGAAAGCAAAAAAAATCACATCCCAGGGGGATGGTCATGCCACAGTCCCCTTTCCTCCATTCTCCTCTCAGGAATTTGGGCATACATGCACACATGTCCGGCATGAGTTTTAAGCCACTGGGTTCAGGCCTAGAACCACAGTTGACTACAAAGAGTCCAGCAACATAACCATTACACCATCTGCTGGTCCTGCGATAATGTATCTTATCTCTAATTTAAAAAAAAACTTTTTTAAAAAGAAAATACACATATATACATACCAGCCAACAGAAAAGCGGTCTTGAGCAGGAAAAAACACACCCAAATGTGTAAAAACAGATCGTGTTCATTCCTTTACTCAGCAGGTGCAGGAGAATGAAAACGTCAGTGTTAAAAAGACAAATAATATTTTAAAAATAAAATAAAATTTCCCTAACAGATCAGTTAGTCAGTCTTACTAAAATGTGTGAGGAATGACTTTTTTTAAAAAAAAAAAAATTATTTTAGAGAGCCAGCAGTTGGTATAATGGCTATGTCGCTGGACTCCCATGTAGTCGCTTTCTGTCTCTCTGTCCTTCTGGCAACCGTATGTGACCTATAGCAGAAACCTCTCCAAAACCAAACCAAAACAAAAAGAACCACACACACACACACACACACACACACACACACACACACAATTAATTCTTTTATTTAACTTTATTTACTTAATTTATTTTAATGTGACCAGAGAGAGACAGAGAGAGAGAGAGGGAAAGGGAGAAAGCAAGCTGCCAGGTCCAGGACTCAAAACGCGGTCAGCCATGTGGCAGTCCAGAGCCCTTAACCACTATGCCACCTGCTGGCCCCCCAACGAGAAATGAATTTTCAGAGTTTAGGCTGCATCTTTCTCTCTCAAGGCTGTGGGACTGCTGTTTAATAACCACAGCAAATAACATACTGAGCCCAGCCTTTCAGGAAGAGGTAACCTGTTCAAAGTGTAGAAGGTTATCTTTTGGCTTATCTTCTAGAGAATGAGGACTGTAGAAATCCTCTGAAATAGTGAGTCCTAAACCACAGCACCCCCCGCCAAAAAAAAAGCACATACTAGGCAGCCAACAGAAAGAATAGTGGCACTCCTTTAGTCAAAGTGAGTCTCCTTGGAGACGCGCAAGTGCCCCAACCCCCTTTTCCAGAAAGCCCCAGAAATGTCAAGGATCCTTCGGGGTGAGCACTGCTGAAGGGAGCAGGGCTGGAGGGGAGCCTGGCAAGGTGGCTCGTGTTCCACAGCAAATCAAACTGCCTCGCTGACCTAAGGCTTCTGAGGGACAGTGTTGCTGGCTTTGTGCCTCCAGCACACTGCAGGCACTTCAAGGCAACAGAGACTTCACAGGTTACGTGTACACATGTGCATGGATGTCACGCACTACCGTGGCCCTGAGCACACACGTGTGCCCTTACTGCCCTGGGTGCAGAGACCTCACGGTGAGCAAGGCTGGCGGGGGTCTATCCTCCCCACCTCCCCCTGCAGGGTCTTCTGCGGAGAAGTCCCCTCCTCTTCCTTACACCCAAGCCAAATCCCACACTCCGGCCTCCTGGAATCTGTCCCAAACCCCTCTTGCCTCGACCCCGTCCCTCACGCCACAGAAATCTGCAGCTTCTCGTACCTTCCTCAAGACCAAGCCTCCGCAGGTAACTGCAGCGCTTCTTCATCTGCGTCACGGGGAGTCTCAGTAACTGGGGACTTTTCTTCAAGGCCACACACACGGGCTCTGGATTCAGACCAAGAAGTATAAACTGTGAAACGATGCCCAGCAGCTGCCGAGGGCTGGTGCCTGGCTGCACCCTGAGTAGGCCCCTCGCCTGGGCTTCGCTGAAGCCCATGTCCAGCAGGGAGCTGATGACCTCTGGCTCCAGGGGAGTCCTCTCTTCAAGGAGCCCTGGGACCTGACCAGTCCTGCATTCTGGCTCTTTTGTGGATGTTTTGAGTCCAACACAGGGTAACTCCTCAAAGACCCTTCCACCGGAGGCTAGAGTCTGCTTCTGCAGCACTGAGGTGGTCCTTTTCCGTTCTCCAAGATGAGTCTTCCTGGCCGTAAGAGCCCAGGTGACAGGGGTTAGGAGGGGCACACCAAGGACCTGTAGGACACAGGATCGAGATTGTCATGGCCTCTCCACCTCAGTGGGACGGCCCATGGTTGAGTTGGGGCGTTTAGCGCCATGGTCCTACGCCATGGGACCGTCCTTAAGCAATTACAAAATCACACCTGCACTGAAATGAGCTACAGGGACGGGCCCAGGAGAGGAGCCTGTCCCGCAAGGTTAGCTGTGCTGCCAAAGGCAGGGGCAGGGGCCTGGGCAGGGACCGGGAGGGAGGCAGGACTCCCAGTGGTCCCGACCTTTTCGCAGTTGTTTTATGTAAAAGACAATTTTTCCACGGACTGGGGTGGGGGGCTTGGGGATGGTTCAAGTGCATTACATTTATCATGCGCTTTATTTCCACTGTTATTACATTGTCCTATGAAAGGCACATAATTACACAGCTCGCCCTAAGGCAGTCTTTGCAGCCGCTCCCCAGTGACATCACCGCCTGGGCTCAGACCACGGCACTGACCCCTGGGTGCGTCCCAGCAGGTGCCGAAGCCCGGACGTGACCCTCACGCCAGACCCGAGGAGAGCCCGGGCGGCAATGCCAGCGACGGGCTTCGCCGGTGCGGGCCGGTTCGGACAGGCCATGGTGGGGGGCAGGGTACTGGTCCGTGGCCCGGGCTCGGAGGCCGCCGGGCCACAAAAATGCCGGCAGGGCCGTGCCCAGACTCGCGCCGCCCGGGCTCTCAGGGCCCCTCGCGCCCGCTCGTTCCCAGGAGGCGCCCGCGGCCCGCGGCCCCC